GATGGCAGAACTTTCAGAATCATAGCAACTCCCAAGCCACCACAGTATGACAAACTGACAGATGAGTGGTGGAAGATTTCTTGAATGCCTATTATATGAGGCATTATGCTAAGATTATCACACATATATTATTTTATTTAACCTAGGAAAAAAGTGGAAAGTATTAATTCCATTTTATTGGGGGGGGGGGAAACTAAGGCAGAGAAAAGGTTCATAACCTGACCAAGATGCCGTAGCTCTCAAATGATAGAGCATGATTTGAACCCAGGCAATCTGGACAGGCAGAACAATCCCACTGCCCAATTCCAGAGGTACCACATTCACAGCATCACAAGGAATTGTCCCCTACGAGTCTCCTTGATCTGCGCACCATTGAGATCCTGTGAGCCAGAGACTTGATGTTACCAATTACACTGCAGTGTTCCTCTAGATGCTGAACAAAATTTCTATGAAGGCCAAGTTCATGTTAAAGAATACCCCATTGGCTCTCTTTAACACCCTTCTTCGAACTTACCAGCGATACAGGCAGATTCTTACAACAGTATGGTGCAACAGTTAGCAACACTTGGGCTGCTAACCAAAAGATGGGCCATTTGAAGCCAGAGTGCTCCTTGGAGGCCAGAATGGCCAAAGTTCATCTCTCATACTTCAGAAATATTGTCAGGAGGGACTAGTCACTGGAGAAGGATATCATGCTTGGTAGGGTGGAGGGTCAGAGAAAAAGAGGAAGACCCCCCAGCAAGATGGATTGACAAAGCATTGCAATGATAGTGAGGTTGGCCCAGGATAGGGCAGTGTTTTGTTCTGCTGTGCATAAGGTTGCTATGAGTAGGCACCTGCTCAATGGCCCCTAACAACAACAACAATGGCCACAATGGCCCTTGGATGTGAGGATGGAGAGACTTCATCCCATGTACTTTGACGTTCTGGTTTGGCCCTGTGGCTTAATGTGCTGAACTGCAAAGTTGGTTTGAACTGCAAGGTTGACGGTTCAAGCTCACCAGCCACTCCTTGGAAACCCTCTACAGGGTAGATACGGGTGGGAACTGACTCAAAGGAACATAACAACAACAATGTCTCTGAGGAAGAAAGCTCCTATAAAGATTACCCAAAACCCTATTATGGATGAGTTGATTCTGACTCACAGAGACCCTCTAGAGCAGACTGGAACTGCTCCAGAAAGTTTCTAAGACTGTAAATCATCATGGGTACAGACACATCCATCTTTCTCCTGCAGAGCAATTGAGAGATATGAACTGTCAATCTTGAGGTTAGCAGTCCAACACTCAACCCATTGTGCTACCAGAGCTCTTTCCTAGAAGACCACATGGGGCAGTTCTACTCTGTCATCCATGTTTGCTATGAGTTGGAAAAATCAACTTGATTTTAAGTAACAAAAGTCAGGGGATGAGCTTGGAGGAAAGACTTGAACAGGTGCCTGCAGAGGGCGAGAGACACATGCACCACCTGGTCTGTGGATGTCAACTCTTAATTTTCCTAAACGTCTCAGTCACTGTTACTAGTATTTTTTACTATGTGTTGCAGAATTACTTTTCCAGAATGACTCAGCGAGAGGAGCCTTCCCCTGCTATTGCTCTCACTGCAATCCCTCCCTCCACACAACTGATCTTTCCTCCTTGGGTTGTTATGCTTGAGCAAGGAGAAAGCCTTCTGTTTACTAGCCATTTAATTCCCTGTGTGTTTCATGATGAAAACAGCTGCACTAAGCAGTTTGTTGTTGTTGTTATGTGCCGTGGAGTTAATGACACTTAATTAATTGTAGCCCCACTGTCCCTAGGCCTATCATCAGGAGCTTACGGGTACAAATGAGGCCACATTCATCTTAATTCCCAAGTAACTCCTGGCTTTAGATTAGTTCTATGTAAAACTTTCTAGGAGCCTCCATGGGGTGTCTCACCTGTGCTTAAGACCCAGTCTGTACCCTTTGAGAGCACCTATTATTAGCAACTCCCCTTAATCTGTGCTGGGTGTTTGTCCGGGTAGTTGGGCAGTTACCGTGACCACTAAACATCTACTACCCCTTGTTGAATGCAGCGTCTCCACTGGTAACTGCAGTTGCTCTTCTGAGAGGGAGGATGCTACCCACCCATGTGACTGATTCATGTGTGACTTCAAGCTAGACACTCTTTCAGGGCATTGCATTCTACTGGAACTCCAGTGTCACAATGTTATTATTGCAAAAAAGAAAGAGGGGATAGTCCCCTCTTCATGTGGGTCAGACTTTAGGCTTAAAACAGGGTGAGAGCCAGGCACCATGCAATTTCTCTCACTAGAGGCCCCAGGCAAGAGCTGACAAAAGTAGGCTTCTTCCTCCTTAAATATATTCAATGCAGACACCGAGAGGTCTAATTTCATACCCCCATCTCATGTAGGCTGAGTTATATTTTATTTACATTTCTGAAGAAGAAATCTGATACTAAAAGGTCTTATTTTAATATTTAGCAATTCCAGTTATTATTCCTCTCCTGATCAATGTCAACAGCAAAACCATTCAACCATTCAGCATACATATAAATTCAACAGTGTATATGTATCCATATACACTTTGAAATGACAACTCAAAATCATCATCAATAAGATCTCAACAATTAAACATGGAAAAGAGAATCAATTATAAAATATAGACAGTCAAGAAAAAAGACAATATTATCAACTCTTTTATCATCAACTCTGACATGGTGACCACAACCAACACCGGCTGAAAAATGCTGACTGGACATGCTAGAACTGAAGTTGCAAGCAAAGTGTAATCACTAATAACTGAATAAGGAGCCCTTCAGCATGACATATTGAATTCCAAGGATGACATTTAAACCAAATGGTCTAGTTTGGAGAATATGCTCAGTTCCTTCTGGTAATAATTAAAAATTATATATATATACATGGTTTTCTTTTACAGGCAATTATGCTAATGATTCAACTGGAATTTCAAGAAATGGTTAAGTATATTCAATTTTATTTCAGGTTCAGCAAAATGAGATCATTCATTGTTTTTGGTTCAATTGCAGTCCTGTCCCATGTCTAAAACAGACAAAAAGGGACCTGGGTAATTTTATTTTTCTGACCTTTATTTTCCTCATCCTTCTGTTCATGTCTTTTGCAAACATCTGTGGGACCTTTTATTTTGCTCTTTTGTCTGTTTTTGCATTATAAAATTTCTTCTTGTCTACTTTCCCAAATAAATTTATTCTAAATTCTCTGGGTTTAACTCAGGATTATTGGAAGATGTTCTTTCCTATGCACAACTGGTATATTGATTATTTTAGATTGTTGCCCTCTTGTTTATGCTTTCACTACCATTAGACAAAACTTACATATATTGACATCACACGCTCATAACATTAGCTTTGATCCAACACGGCAAACATGTGAAAGTAACAATAGCTCTCAAACTACACATGCCCAGAGCAATGCCCAAAACAAGCACAGAGACAAGTGGGTAATTAATAAATAAATAACAAAGGAACATCAGGGAGATTTCCCAAGCAACAGCTTAAATGGACAATTTGTGAGATCAATGAAGGAAAACAGAGTTCAGAAAAGAAAGAATTATTTAAAAAAAAAATAGAATCACAATATAAAATGGGCATTAGAATTATCTTGAATCTTGAGAGATACGTATTTTTCCTAGATATGAGAAGAATAACTTCCCGGATGTTCTTACCTGTTATGGTGGCTTTGTTGATGGATGGTTGGTTACACATAGGTGATCTTCTAACAAAGAGAGAAAAATACACAGCAATAAGTATGTGGTGCTTGTTGAGTTGAGTACTCTCTGAGTCATTTCAGATCAGCAATTTTAATTTAAAGTATTATTTTTAAGTTAGAAAATGCAAAGGAACACGACTTTCAGGCTAGTCAATCAATTGTCTAGGAGTCTTTTGGACTATGGCTCGGTCACACATGTCAACAATGAAAACGGTTAAACCTCAAGATAATAAGACTTTGAAGTAAATAAGGCAGATGTAAATGTCACAGGGACATGATAGAAGAGGAAGTTCTTATTCACTGACAGTTAGTTGTCATAGAGTTGATTCTGACTCACGGAGATCTCACACGTGCTCCTTTCAGAAGCAGACAGCCACCATGTCTGTCTTTCAGGGTGACTCTGGGTGACTTTGAATCTCCAACCTTTCATGTAGTAGTTGAATGCTTAACTGTTTGTGCCACCCAAGGACTCCTATAGCAGCTCTTTTCCATTTTCATCTGCTTTGTCCCTGTGAGTTAGTTGAAAACTTCAGTCTTCTGCAGAATTGGCATCATATCATCTTTGCGGAGAGAGAAGAACCAGCCTGAAGCTTTCACACTAGTTTGATCAACTACTTACTTACTGTAGAGCTTTAGATGCTAGTACCCAAGGAGGCATAAAGTAAATTGTGAAGTTTCTTTCTAGCCTTTTAAAGCTAAAAATCCAATTTCCTAGATAAAATTTGTGTCTAAAAACTATGGAAATGAAAATCAGTCATTTCAATTACCTTTAGGCCTCAGACTACACAAAGGGGAGGCAGTTATACCTCTGAGGTACCAAGTGCTAAAAATTCCAAGTGGTCGTTAATGTTAGCACGGCTTTACTGCATAGGCAACACACATGATAATGAATGAGAGCCTCAAAGCACAGGCCTGGTTTCGTCACCACTCACTCAGCCAATGAACGTTTACAAAGTGGTTACTCTCTACCAGGTATTATGGTCATCACCGGAATACAAATATGAATCCAATCCCTACTAATAAATGACTTTTACATATAACATAGAAATATGAGCATATGATGGTAAATATAAAACTAATAAAATGTTTGTCATTTCCATAATTTTCACATATCTAGTTCAGAGACATTAATTACATCTATCATGTTCTTCTGGTGTGGCACTGTGGGCTAATGTGTCAGACAGCAAAGTTGTTTGAACTGCAAAGTCAGTGGTTCAAGCTCACCAACTGCTCCTTGGAAACCCTATACAGTGTTACTATGATTCAAAATCAACTAGACGGCATTTAACAACAATAACAATCATGTTGTTCAACCATTATCACTGGCCATTCTTAAATACTTTTTCATGACTCTTAATAGAAGCTCAGCATCCTACAAATAAACTTTCTGAAGAAGCATCCAGACAAGCAAATAGGCAACATAAGCACAGAGAAGTAGGTGCTAAAATAAGGGTCGCATACAGGATGTGGTCAGATCGAGAAGGAAGACCGTATCATCCATTTTGAGCCAATGATGCCCTAGAAAAAAATCACATATAAGCTAAGACCTAATGAAGAAATAGGAGTCCTGGTGTGGCACTGTGGGTTAATGCACCAGACTGAAAAGCCTGGACTGCACGGTCGGCAGTTCAAGCTCATCAGCCACTCCTCAGAAACCCTATACAGGGTCGCTATGGGTCGGAAACGACTCAATGGCACTTCACAACAACAACAATGAAGAAATAAAGTTTATCCTAGTGTCTGAGGAAGGAGAAAAGGTTAGGGCAAGTGTTTAGGCTAAGGGAACAGGATTGTAAAAACTCATTATCTGGCACACATGACAATCAAGTGATACTTCTGGGTCCAACCCTGTGTTATTTACATTGTGGCATTTCTGTTGTTTTCTAAAATATTGTTCCATCACAGTAAGCACTTGTAAAAAGCCAGAACATTTTTTAATCACAAAAATTGTAAATTTCAGCGGTCAATTATGTTATTAAGAAATGGAAAGTTCACATTCCTTATTTTCGTTAAGAAGTAGTAACCACTATCAAATTTTATATGTTTAGTAAGTTAAAGGAGTCTTGGTGTGACAAAGTAGGTGGTTCACACACACCAGCCACTCGTAGGAAACACTATAGAGGGTGGCTATGAGTTGGAACCAAATTGACAGCACATAACAACAACAGTAATTTAAAATCTTAAACAAATTTCCACCAGTTTATTGTTCTCTTGTATTGATTTAAAGAAAAAAAAAAAACAAACTTTTTTTTTTTCATTCTGGAAGATTCTTTGGGGTTTATATTTTAATGCTTTTATTTTATATTGGGAATGTGATGACACCGTATGATAAGTACTGGACTGTGTGTGAACCACAAGGTCCATGGTTCAAGCCTGCCAGCTGCTTCACAGGAGAAAGATGAGGCCTTCTGCTTCTGTGAAGATGTAAAGCCTCAGAAACCCTACACAAGGTCACTGTGAGTCCAAACTGACTCCACAGCGGTTAACAACAACAATTATATATTAATAATAAAATTTCAAAATAATAGGCAAGGAGCTCTGGTAGCGTAGTGGTTACAAACTGGGTTGTTAATCTCAAGGTCAGCAGTTCGAAACTACCAGCGGTTCTGCATGAGAAAGATGAGGCTTTCTGCTCCCGTAAAGATTTACAGCCTCGGGACCCCTATGCAGGGTCACTATGAGTCGGAATCTACTCAACGGCACTTAACAACAACAACAAATAATAGCCATCAAATTGATTCAGAGCAGAAAAGGTCACCTTTCTCCCATGGTGCACCTGGTAGATTTAAACCACTGAACTTGCAATTAGCAGTCAAAGCTCTTTGCTATGAAATGTGCTTCACCAAATAACTGATGTCCTAGAATTAAAAGGGTGACTTTGAATGGATTTTAAGGTTTGATGAGATGGTATCCACCCACAGCCACTGAGTCAATCACAACTCAGAGAAACATTATGTAGGGTTTCTGAGACTATATGTATCTTTAGGGAGCAGACAGTCTTATCTTTCTCTTAACAAGGAACAGACCAAAATCTCATCCACAGGGCCACCTGGTCTGCACAACAAGATTATATGTGGTATTTGTTGTTGTTAAGTGCTGTTGAGTTGGTTCTGACTCATAGTGATCATAAATGTTGTTGTTGTTAAGTGCCGTCAAATCAATTCTGACCCATAGCAATCCTGTATAGGATTTCTAAGGAGCAGCAGGTGAGCTTGAATCACCTGTATTGTTGTTGTTGTGATGTGTCATCGAGTCGGTTCCAACCCATAGTGACCCTATATAGGGTTTCCGAGGAGCTGCTGGTGAGCTTGAACTACCAACCTTGCAGTTCAAATGAGTTTGCAGTCTGGAGCATTAACCCACAGCACCATGCCAGGACTCCCTGTATAGGGTATTGTTAATTTATAAAGCAAATCAAAATTATCATGTTAACCTGAGTGTAAATAACTGGTCAGAAGACTGATGATGTCAAGTGCTTCTAAGAGGTGGAATCACTGTATTTGTCATATTATATTATTTCTGCTGTTAGAACCATCACGCCCAAGGATTTATAGAAAATGTAGAGTATCATAAGACTTGGTGTAAACAGAAAACATGGTAACCAACCACTCAGAAATCTAACAATGCCTTAAATTCTCTCAAACTGAAAAACAAAAACAAAACACCATTAAAAAGGTTGAGTAAGAGAGAGGAGAAATCAAAACAAGAAGATAACTTACTTGCTCGGTGCTCGATCTTGCAAATTAGTTAATGCAGCAAAGTTGTTTCGAACAGTTCGCAGGCTGGCCAAGACCTACAACAAAAAAAGGTCCATTTAAACTTCTTGACTGAGGACCATTTTTTAATACAATTTTTAGGAGTTTAGTGATTTAAAGAAAAATGGTTTATTGAATAAATCTTGGTATTTCTTGCTGTTTTGTTACATATGCTCCTGAAGAATCTTCCAGTACTTATCCACTTGAAGTCCAGAGAAATCAGCCTGGAAGAGTTCTCCATATATGCCCCAGTATTGCCTTTGAAATTGCTGACAGTCATAGCCAATTCCAGGACATTTCTGGCTTTCATTGTTACCAAGACAATAGTATCTCAAGCAATACATTCATAGCATTATTGCATTTTATCTACGTTTAAATTACTATCAATTTGAAATTGCTCAATATATTAACAAAGTCTCCCTAGGTAAGATTTAAATCAGAATGAATTCCCTGACATTCTCTTTACAATTTCACCACAAATCTCAAATTTTCAAAGTCAACAAGCCAAGCAAATTTTACTTTATTTTATTTTCACTTTTGCCACTTGGGTACATCAGCTAGCAAACAGACATTGTTTTCCTTTGATAAGATTATCTGACTCATGGATTACCAGAGACCCTCAGGAATTACCATTATGTGCACACACAGATTCAAAAAGGTGTTAATAAATTGTTGTTATTGTTGTTAAGTGCTGTTGAGTTTGTTCTGACTTACAATAACTCTTTATAGGGTTTCTGAGAAGTGGCTGGTAGATTTGAACTGCCAACCTTGTGCTTAGCAATTCAGTGCTTATCCTACTGCAGCACACCAGGGCTCCTAAATGAATGCATAGATAGGTACAATATATCTATACACATGACATACATAGACACAATATATGACAAGGAAGGACTAACAGATACTGCTATCTCTGATTGTTGTTATTGTTAAGTGCTGTAGAGTGGGTAGGGTTTCCAAGGAGTGGCTGGTGAGTTTGAACCACTGACCTTGTTGTTCAAACAGACCTTGTAGTTTAGTGCTTATCCTACAGCACCACACCAAGACTCCACTACCTCTGATGTTGCTGTTGTTAACTACTGGAAGATCGATTCTGACTCATAGTGACTCTGTATAGGGCTTCTGAGGAGCAGCTGGTAAGTCTCAACTGCTGACCTTCTGGTTCAAGCTGACCTTGCAGTTCAGTGCTTTTTAATCCTACAGTACCACACCAGGACTATCACTGATAATTCTTCCCTATTTCCAATTTTAGGAATCCCTGGGAAGTGAAAAAGTCAATGCACTTGATTATCAATTGAACTATTAAAGGTTCAAATCTACCTACCCAGAGGTACTTTGAAACCCAGGTCAGGTGATTTACTTGTGAAAATCAGCCATTAAAAGTTTTATGGACCACAGTCCTACTGTGACATACATGGGGTCGCCATGAGTTGGAAGTGAATTGAGAGCAATTTTTTTTGGTTATTTTCCCCTTACTTCCAAGGGACTAAAAAAGTGGGGAAAGCCTGACAGAGAGACTAGGAGAGAAGAGCTGGAAGAGCCATTCCTGCTGACTTTTCACTTTCTCCTACACTGCAGTAGGTTTTCCCCAGGCGGGGCCAGCTACATTAAGTAGATTATAGATGTTTTAGATTTAGTATCTGATAACCAGAATTCAATATTTATCTAAAACAAGGATTTCAAATATTCTATTAGGAGCCTTGGTGTTGCACTGTGGGTTAATGCATTGGACTGCAAAGTCGATTAGAACTGCAAGGTCAACAGTTCAAGTTCATCAGTCCCTCCTCAGAAACCCTGTGCAGGGTCTCTATGGTTCGGAACCAAGTTGACAGCACTTAACAACAACAACTACATAACAACCCAGACTGCTTTGGTGAGCCAAATGACATCACCTCTCCTGACCTCAGTTTTTTCATCTAACAAATTGTAACCAGGCTATTTTACAGATTTATTATGAGGATTCTATGAAATGATAGTTAAGTGTGGAGAACTGTGCCTGGCAAATAAAAAGCATTCCGTAAGTATCAGCCCATTCCATTAGACTAACAATTTGGCATGTTCACGGGGATTTTACTTAACATCTTGCTTTGTAGTAGAAGTGGGCCCTCCAAATTTCTAATTGCTCCAAGGTTTTAAGAGTTGTTTCCAGAGGTTTTTCAGCTGGCATTGACCTCAACTAAGGTCATTCTAAAGTTTTGTCTAGGACAAAAGCATCCTAAACATTTCTGAATTAGACATTCATTCCTGTAAGTCACTAGAGAGCAATTTATGCCCTTGGATAGTGACCTACAGTGTAATCCCCTTGAGGAGTTAATGGTGTTTCTCAAGGTACCAACCATGATGAACTCAGTCACTGGAAAAACCTGGTTCATTATCACATACAAACAGCTCACAGCCCTGAAAGGTCATGCTGTCTATGATGGAATATTCAAATAGCCAGCTGCTGACATCAGACCACAGAGTCTTTTAGTAGGCATGAAATCTTGAATGATGCACTAATAAATTGGATGAATGATCCACTGTCCTTAGATCATGCAGGCTTAATTGATGTTGTAAGAAGTGAATATCAAACACACTAATAAAGTGTTTCAAGGGAACTGTTCAAAAATAGCTAATAAACTCTTTTTCTAGACAAAATGTTTAATCTCAGAATTTAAGAATGTTATTCTGGTGAATAATTGTTAAGTGTGCTGATGTGATAGCTGAGTAAATAGAGTACTGCAGGGAATTCTTGGTCTATGCTCACTTGAAGGGAAACATTAGCTTATAAAAGTTAACCCCAAATAGTTTTGCTATCGGGAGGTTTAACAACACTCTTTCCACCTCTTCCTTGGGTTCACATTTCCATATGTCCATCTTTCCTGCCCCATTTATGCCTTTTGAACTTTGTTTTTTGGCAAATGCTGCCTTGATGGTTGATTGTTTTGAGAAGCATGTTGCTCAAGAGTGTTACTGTTCACTTTATAGACCTGCCTGGTAGGTAGCATAGTGGATTATGAGTTGGGCTGATAACCAAAAGGTCTAGAGTTCAAATCTACCAGCCACTCCATGGGAGAAAGATAAGACTTTCTGCTCCCATAAAGATGGTCAGCCTCAGAAATACTACACAGGGTTGTTATGAGTTATAACCCACTCCATGGCACACGACCACCACCACAGTTTGATGAATGATGGTCTCTAGGAGTTGATTTCATTCTAGGTGTACAGTGTGTCCAAAGACCATAGTGGGTTACTGGTGTGGAACTGTGGGTTAATGAACTAGACTGCAAAGTTGGTTTGACTTTTAAGGTTGGCAGATCAAGCTCACCAGCTGCTCCTCGGAAAACCTATACAGGGTCACTATGGGCCAGAACCGACTCAACGGCACTTAACAACAACAACAACAACAAAAGGCCATAGTCTCGGGTTCCAACCGTTTCTAGCAGACCAGTAAGTCTGGTATTTTTTATGATTTTGAATTTTGTTCTATATTTTTCTCTCACTCTGTTCAGGACCTTCTCTTATGATCCTTTGGACCATTAGTCCTATGGACTAATTGTTTCCTCAGACTTTGATTTTCTTAATTCCTCTTTGCTCTAGATGGAAAGACACAATAGTTGTATCTTTGATGACCACTCATAACCTTTTAAGAATCCAGTTGCTACTCACCAAAGTAGGATGCAGAACATTGTCTTTATGAACAATATTATGGAATTTTAAGAATACATTAAATTATGTGGTCTTACACTTCCAAGTCAGGATGTGTGGTAATGACTAAGAAGTTTGCAGAACTTTGCCTTCCATGTGTTTTACTGTACATTGTTGTTGTTGTTGTTGAGGGCTATCAAGACTATTCTAATACATGGCGTTCCTGTATAGGGTTTCCAAGACAGAGCTGTTGGGTTTGAATAACTGATTAGCAGTGGTTAGTAGTCTAGTGCTTACCCCACAGCACCACACCTGGTTATATTTACAGCACATACAAATACATAAGTAGAAATAATCTCTGCCAAACTCGGGAGGGGGGGTTGAGCTCCCAGACACCATTCTACACCTCTTTAGCTTACATATCGACATACCCTAGGGGTGTTTTTTTTGCCTCAGTTATAAAAAAGACAGTAAATTAGATCATTTTGTTTTGGTTTTAAAATGAAATTTTATGTACTTATTTTTAATAAACTCTATTTTCACATAATGAAGAATTTTCACAGGACAAAATGGTCAATAACAAAGACAAAAATAAAAATGTTATTTCTGAGCGGTGGTAGTGGATGAGGACCACACAGGGTGAGGAACACACAAGGGGCATTAAAACCCTGATAATGTTCTGGGCCTTAAATAGTATTCTTTATACTTTACAGAATCAGCAGATATATTCTCTTATTTGTATGAGATATTTTAAAAGAAAAAGAAAAAATGTCCTCAAAGTCCTCCTCCTGACATTTAAATGCCAGTGTCCTACCAACTGACCTTTAGATTGTCTTCTAAATGTTGCTTTTGCAAACACTGCTGCAGTAAACAACTTTTTAGGCACATGATTCCATTTATGTGCAAATATTAAATCATTTCTGGTGTGACATGACAAATGGTATTTTATCAATTTTATGCTAAGTAGTAACTATTATTTTCTGTAATGTGAAAACCGCCAATGACCAATGAGATGGATTGGCACAGGGGCAGCAGCAGGGGTCTCAAGTGTAACAATGATTGTGCAGGACGAAGCAGGGTTTTGTTCCATTGTGCCTGGGGTCACTATGAGTCAGAGCCAACCCAACTGCATCTAACAAGAACAATGTGACATATATGATACTTATTGCTGTTGCTATTATAAAGTGCGCTGGAGTTGGTTATAACTCATAGAAACTCGGCATAGGGTTTCCAAATCTTTATGGAAACATAAAGTCTCATCTTTTACTTGAAGAGCAGCTAGTTGGCTCAAACCATCAACCTCATGGTTCACAGTCCACTGTTTATCCCACAGAGCCACTGCACTCGTCATACATACGGTTGTTAGTGTCATCAAGGTGATTCCGACTCACAGCAACCCTACATAGGGTTTCCG